ACGCTTTCCCAAAATTCCACCACATCCTCTTTAACTATTAAAAAGCCTCGTTCAATGTCCGGCCTTTCGCTCATGCATTTCACCAGTTTTTCGTATTGGGAGCGATTTGTTGTGATTGTCGACTTGATAATTTNGAAACAAATCAAAATAAATATAATCGCAAGTGAACAGTGAAATTAAAAAAAATTGTTTAATCGTATTTGAAAAAGCTTTTCCTTAATTAAGTAAAATAGAATGGATTCAGTGGCCGGTGCACTTTTGTCTCAGGAGGAAGAACATGCTGCAGTCAACTGTTGCATTAATATACAAAGGAGATTGCTACGAGACAGTTCTGATCCATTTAGCTTAAATGATAAATATATGCTCCCTCTTTTTAAGGGCGTCCATTCAACTAAATATTGTGTTGCTTTAAATCTTGCACGCTTTCCCAAAATTCCACCACATCCTCTTTAACTATTAAAAAGCCTCGTTCAATGTCCGGCCTTTCGCTCATGCATTTCACCAGTTTTTCGTATTGGGAGCGATTTGTTGTGATTGTCGACTTGATAATTTTGTAAACATTTAATAATACATTGTTTTTTATTCACACTTCAACTTACATACATATTTTTGCGTTTCCACACTTTATTTTATTGATATTTTAAAAGAATTCGCTTCGCTCCGACACCAGTTGCTCTTCGTAGAAAATTTCCGACAAATACATACAAATTACAGCTACGTCGGATTCAGGCATACCAACATTACGAATTTCGAATATGGTCTCCGAATTTCGAAATTACGATACGGCAACGCGGATTACAGCATACCAATTTTAAGATTCGTAGCAAAATCGAATCTACGACGGATTACAGCATAGGGGTGTATGTATTTGTCAATGTTATTTTGGCTTATTAACATTTTATTTTTTAATATTTTTATTGAGCTTTGTACCACGATTGTTTTTATTAGGAAAAATTGAAAAAGCAACAATGTCTAAGCGGTAGAAGTTCATACCGCTAGGTGCAGGGGGCGTGGCACCTCTCGTACAAACCGAATTTTTCACACTGCATATCTCTGGAAGTATGCATGGTAGAGTACTGGAACTTTAGAAGTGTTCATGGTAGAGTACTCGAACATGTTGTGGAGAAATATGAAAACAAGAGCATACTAATGGAGAAAAATTGAGGCTATTGGAAAAAGGGGCGTGGCAACTCCCATAAAAACCGAATTTTTCATACTTCATACTTCTGGCAGTGTTAACGATAGAGTACTGGAATTTGGCGATTAGGGTGTCCATATCATAAAAAATTTTCTGTATTTTTTCTTTTAGAAGCCCTAGTATTTTTGTATGTAAAATCTAATGGTGATTTCGTTTCTACCAAAAAATGTTGCCCTTCCCCGGTGCAAAATTTGTTTGATGTTACACTTAACCCTTTGAAAAGGCATGTTTTACCTTCTTGTCCTTGTCCGGATCACGCATTTCATCATATTATCGTTTTAAGCATTCATCTAATTTTCAGGGCAACCATCTCCCCTGTCAAAGCTTCAAAGGGCGGAAAAGGTGCCTTTTTTGCCTTACAAGAGTGTGACATTTTAAGAAACGAACACACAATTTTCTCACTCTTTGTCTTTAATTTGGAATCGAACAAGAAAAAAGAAAAGGGCAATGAAAAGGCGACATTTTTTGGTAGAAACGAAATCAGNCAAGAGTGTGACATTTTAAGAAACGAACACACAATTTTCTCACTCTTTGCCTTTAATTTGGAATCGAACAAGAAAAAAGAAAAGGGCAATGAAAAGGCGACATTTTTTGGTAGAAACGAAATCAGCAAATGTCGTGTCAAGGTGTTTGTGGTCGAACTCCTCCAAAACGGCTTGACTGATTTGAAATTGAAATTTTGTATGTACATTCGGTAGGTATGATAATAGGTTGTGAAGTATGTTTCATAGCGCTAAGTGAAGGGGGCGTGGTATCTCCCATACAAACTAAATTTTTCACACTTTATATCTCAGCAAGCGTTTATGGTAGAGTACTGGAACTTGGTATGTACAAGACATATAAAATCAATCGATTAGTCATGAAGAAAAATTGGGGCGTGGCACCTTCCATACAAACCGAATTTTTCATACTGCATATCTCTGTAAGTGCTCATGGTAGAGTACTCGAACAAGGTATGGAGATATATTAAATCAATCCCATTATTTTAGAGAAAATTGCGGCTATTTTATAAGGCGGCGTGACGCCTTTCAAACGCAATGAAGCAAAATGCAAAACCGCGTATGTGAAGTTGTAGAAATTATTTTCTAGAGCGTAAAAAACACTCATATTTCAAAATAGTTCTCTATTTTATAAAGCAATCGCATTTCGGGCTAGTATATTTCAAGACGAATGAATAAGGATTGAGCCAAGGNAAGTTGTAGAAATTACTTTCTAGAGCGTAAAAACACTCATATTTCAAAATAGTTCTCTATTTTATAAAGCAATCGCATTTCGGGCTAGTATATTTCAAGACGAATGAATAAGGATTGAGCCAAGAGCTTGTGTGAGCAAATCCCATTTTTGGCAGCCAATGTCAGTTACGCGCTTTTGTAGAATGACGATATGCGGTTTTGTACTTTAAACGACGATATGTACCTGATTGCTATGTAGTTTTGAGTGAAGTTAATGCTGGGTGAAACCCATCGTGTTTTGATTGCTACTCTAAGGACAAATAAAATCCTTACCTTCGTCCAGGAAGTAAACCAGCGCGATTCTCTGTAGTTGTCGTCATCGGCCATTGCCATTTTGGGGCGAATAAGCAATATTTGGCGATTGAAAAAGGCAACGCGGCAATTATAGGTAACATTGCGGTGCATGACCGGCATACCAACATCGATAAGCATATTTTCACTAAAAAAGTAGCAAGCAGTGTTATACATATATATATTTTTTTATTAAATGAGGCTCCTACCAAAGCGGCGAGAGCATTATCTCCAAGAGTACCTCCCACGAGTGAAGATATGTGTCGGGTTCGAAAAAGTGATCTTCGCAGCTGTAGCCACTAACGAAACACAAGATTCCATGTTAATTAAAATAAACCAAAGCAGCGCTAGCGCTAAAACTTACGTTACTTCCAGTTCTGGGCCGGTACGATAACAGGCGCCCATATCTTTTGCTTCCAATATGGATTGTAATATGCGCGCCAAATTACCTTCGAAGTCGAGTGCCCACTGATTAAGCGTTGAAATGGCGACGGTGATTTTTCGACCCATTTTGTTGAATCACGGTTTACAATTGACAGTTGACGAGAGCACTCGCTGTTGCAATGGCAGTAAGAAAATGTACGCCCAAACCTCAATTTGAGTTCGTTCTTAGGCTTAAAGCTGACGTTGATGTTGTAAATGTTTCTTTAAGATTATTGTCAAGTATCGGATGAGTGTGTTCGTTAAGCCCAATGCGGCAATTTTAACAACGAGAACAAACGCTGTGGGCAACAGGTGTGTCCTAGTTAACTATCTGCAATCATAAAGTAGAAAAAGAGAATTATTATTCTGGCATTGACGAACTAATACGAGCAAAAAATTCAGTTTGCATTGCAAGGCATAAACCAAAAAGAACAAATTACTTTTGGACGTCCGCAGCAATTTAAGAATCAGAAAAGTATNAAATTCAGTTTGCATTGCAAGGCATAAACCAAAAAGAACAAATTACTTTTCGACGTCCGCAGCAATTTAAGTGGAAGTACAATGTCAGCAGCAGCAGAAAAGTAAAATTGCTAGTCTAAATAATTAACAAATAACTTGTTTGAGCGCCAGGCGATGACGCACGTCTAGTCCTTAATGCTAATGCAACTGCAAGGATATGAAAACAGCAACACAAAACATTCGCTGTGACGCTATGCAGCACGTTTGCATTGTTATTGTTTATTCTTGTCTGGCATTTTTTCACTGCTAAGCACCTGAAATGGCAACTGCAGCTATTTAACCTATTCCACTCAATTGCCCGCGTATCGACCAAACATTCGTCATTTGAGGTTACTTAATCGAGTTGGGTTGGAAGTTTAATCACTAATAGCGTTTTCCTTTCTCAAAGAAAGTTCTGCCCTTTTATATGGGAACTCTTGCTTTGCGTTGCCCTGAAACCTGAGAAAATTTTGCGTTCTTTATATGAGAATGAAACAGAAAATATACTACTCCATCACAATTTATTTATAGAACTTAATAAAGCTGAATTATTCACTTGGCCTGTAAGTCTTTAACAATTTTAAAGCAAAACACTTATTTCTGATAGGGAAAATAATTGCATTTTTACAAGATTAAATTAAAAATCAACCATGCAACTCTCACCCTCACGTTTATTTGAGGGCGGAAAATGCAGCACTTTCGCCGGATCAGATCGCAACCTGCTGAGAAAAGAACACGACGCCTTGTGAAAAGGCTGAGAAAAGAACATGAAAATGTGACAGCGCTAACACAAGGTAGAATAATTGCAGCCTTTTTTCAAGAAAAGAAAACACTATAAGTGAATTTCGAGAAACAGAGCGTGATTATAGTGGTGGATAAATATGAATTTTTTTTAAGACATACCCCTAAATTCATAGATAATAAAGCCTATTTGAAATGTTTTATAAATCGAAAATTTGTAATAAAACGCCATTTAATTAACTTAGTTTATTTTGTTTTTTTTTTAATAAGGCTTATAAACTAATCAAAGATGTTAACTAAAAGCGTTGTGGTTCGTAAAATCTCCTGGTTCGTAAGATTCTGGAGTGCATTGTTATGCCGTAATTTTCGTTACTTAACGAAAACGTTGACTTGTTTTTTTATTAAAAACAGCCAATAATATTGGAATACCCATTATTCCATTCAAACTACGAAAAATTACAATTTTTTTGATGCAGTCAATATAAAAGCAAATAAAAAACCACTTGGGGTTTGACTACAAAATATACATAAATATGTACTAATGTTCGGGCCTAGTTTAGTTGGAGTCTTACAAGTTTTCCTCTGAGAAAGCAAAAACGTTGACTGCTTTTTTTCAATATGGGGGCGATCTCACAGCCCCTTAATTCAGCAAATCAAGCTTTTCATTTCTTGAAAGTATCCTCGAAATATTCTGAAATAAATCGGAATGCTTACTTTTATCTTACATGTAATTGATAAGGAGCGCGCACTACCCTCAAGTGATCAATTGAACCAAGGCTACTCCTGGTCAAGCCTATTCCCGCGGAACCGCTGTTAAGCATTTCTTTACGGGTAGAGAAAGCGATCAGTCGCCAGTGTTTGGAGCGCCATATTTAATATATGCTTTCGTTCGATTAAAATCAATGGTGATACAATTGATGAGTTTCTGATCAAAAGATAATATTTCCACTTCCGGTATTTTTTTAGTTTTTTGGTTTAATAGCATCTCTAAGTTGAGCTATGTACGCCTTCAAAACTACCTGTTACACTTCAAAACATGTTTAATATACTACATTTATTAAAACACTCATATTTTCGAGTCATTTTAGGGTTTCGTATTTTTTTTTTTTTTGATCCTCTTGTACAGTAATGTATACTGCAAATATAGTATTGTAATATTGTAATTTATTTCAGGAATATGAAGCAGACGTTCCTTATAGACTAGATACAGAAATTCGGTACTTAAACGATACGTGTAAAACATAAGGCGCCCTACAGTTTCGAGATCAAAGAGAAAATAAAGAAATTTTTTGCAAGGGAAAAATCAAGTTCGATAGAATTCGAGATTGTATTGAATTCATTTAAAGCTCTTGAAATAGGAGCATTTCTGGCATACTCCGTTTTACAATTCTGTCAATTCTGTCAAAACACCGGATTTTCTATTACATTGTTTCCATACTTACAGGTGGACCTATCAACTAAAAACTTTTGTCGAAACAAGTGGCATTTCAGTGACATGATACAAGATCTTATCATACGCTACAAGAACCAAAGAGGTGCATATTTTGTAGCGGAATACAACAGCATTAACCCAGATTGCCCACAACGTGAGTGGATTCCGATGAATTTCATTGAGTTGGATGCAGCCTGATCGAGTCATTGATTTGTGGGCTCTTCATGCTCAAAGATGGGGTGCATAAATGCCAATGGTTCGATTTTTAGCTATTTTGAAGAGTATTCGTTTCGATGATTCCAGAACTTGAGAAACCAGAAGACAATTCGAAAAGGCAGCTCCGATATCGCAAATATTTTCTTTCATCAATTTGAAATTGAGAAACAACTATCGCTTTTCCTTTTCGCCAATACATCCCGTCTAAGCCAACCAAATATGGTATCTTGGAGAAAATTGTGATTCGATTGGTGAGATATCGGCGCTATGTAAGCCTGAGATAGCCCTGTTTGATACGAGTGGCGGCACCAAAATCCAGGGAAAATGTTATCTATGCGCTTCGCAGGATAAGCGTCAGCGCAATTCTCATAAGCGGTGCACAAAGTTCGAAAAGCCGGTTTGTAACCAACATACTAGGAAGGAAGAAACTTAACAGGCTTGCTAAGTCATTATTTCGTGTATTTTGGTAATGTTTCTAACACTTTTTTGCTGTATGAATCAAAATACTTATCAAATTTTATTTAAAAATAATATTTAATAAAAAAACATAAAACTTTTCTCTCATTTCCTAGTCCTGTTCCCATAGATTGAGTGCTTATATACGTAGTCACCCGGGTGACTAATACTACAACAAAGGGTTTCAAATGAATTTTCAGGTAAACCTGTATGGACAGGTATGAGCTAAAAACTTGAGATATGGCTTAAAGTTAACTTAAATAAAATCGTAGTAAAGTAACGAAATTCCAACATACTGTCTAAATTAGAACATAAAGATATTTGCAAAACAAAAGTGAAAAGTCACCCGGCTGACTAATGCTCAAACGGAGGGTTAATTAATGTTGCATGGTATGGACTCCAAATAAAAGATGCATATTCTAACTTAGATCGAACAAAAGATGTGAGTAACAACACATTGAACTCTTACGCCTGACAAAACCAAGAACAGCGTAGGATTTAGAAATGATGTGGCTGATATGACTATTAGAAGGGAAATCAGAGCTGAAAATAACACCAAGGTCTTTGATTGCTTGAACTTTTTGAAGTTTATTTTGAGAGACGTCGAGACACTACTGCGACTTTTGGAAAAAGTAACTTGAAAGCATTTTTTTAATATTTAGAGAAAGGCAGAGTTATTGACCTCGGACTGAAGTCTAACCGCATCATTATTGTTGCTTTCTTGAGGAACCCCCGATGAGGCAATGAAAAAATCCGAAGAACAACCATTAACAGAGACCACGCAGCGCCTATTCGTTGCTTTTTTCCCACTTTTTCATTTGTTATGCCACAAGCAAGCGCAGCTATTCCGCTGCAATTGACTTGATCTTGTGGTTGTTGGTTTTTGCTAATAATTCTATTTTTAGAATGTTTAAATTTTAGGTGTGCTCGTCCTTAAGTTATTTGTTTTTTTGTTATTTTATGGCCTTATAACAATTATAGTCAACAATTTTCAATGAGCTTGAGGCCGTTTTTAATGAAAAACTTATTGTGGAAAAGCCACAATAATGTGAAAAAATGGTAGAAGTGATAGCTTGTGTTGGCATAACAAAAGAAAAAGTGGGAAAAAAGCAACGATAATTTACAAGGCGAACTTAGCACAGTGCACAGGCAACTGGCTGAGTCAGTGGGATCGTCAGTTCGAAGCCTACTGAAAGAAGTCTGATGAAGAAATGTGATGATTTCCGAAATATCTATCACTTCTACCATTTTTCACATTATTGTTGCTTTTCCACAATAAGATAATCAATTATATAAATAGGCAATCATGTTTCCTTTACACCCCTTTTACGGCTAAACTATACTTCTAAGGTAGAAAGAATTATATATCATTAGAAAGGTATTTTGATGCTGATGTGCAGGCAATTTTTAAAATTTCAAATTAGTTTAACATAAAGCGAATAATCAATTCAAAAGTAACACCAATTAGTATTGCATAGCCGTGCATATACATGTTTGGGGCGGAAATGCCTCCTAAATGTAGGCTTTAATATGGATATTGAATTACAGAAACGTGCTAGGCAGCCGTTTAGGAATAATATGTATGTATGTATGTATGTACATGAATAGATTAGACTCAAACAAAGAAGAAGGTAAAGTTGAGTATGGAGAAGAAGAAAGGCATAAATATAGAAATTAAAATAAAAGCAAAGAAACCTAAATATAACGACAAAGAGGAAGGAGAATTTAAATAACTAACCTAATAACAATGGTGGGAATGAATATGTAAATTAACAAAAGAATGGATATATTTAGATCAGGATAAAGGAAAAGATAAAGAAGAAGAAGATGAAGATGAAGATGAAGATGAAGATGAAGAAGATAAGGATAAAGATCATAACCCCTTAACTTCACTCACCTCAACTTATCTCACCTTCGCTTAAAAACTTACTCCACACATTAATTCACCATACCTTAACTCCCCACACCTTAACCCCCCCCACCTA